GCCGTTTCCAGAAACTGGAAGTGATAGAAGAAAAATTGTTTCATCAATTAATAAACAATTTGGTATACTTGCTACCCACCAATTTTCTAAACCCCATCTAGAATAATTCATAAGTTACAATCTTGGCCGTTTTTTGTGCACTTCTCTGTATATGTCCCGTCATCGATTTCAATAATTTTGAATTGATAAAAACATGCGATGATGACGATAATGACGCATGCGTAGTGAACTCTTTCAGTTGGTAGATATTTATTTATTTATAAAACACTACTTTATGAATAGTTGGACATTGAAAACCACTTTCCAATCATCTCCAAAAGTTCAAAAAAAATTCCAATACCTACCTCCTGTCCCTATCCTCCCAAGGAACGCACGATGTTCTTTAAACATTATAGGGATTCCCTTTCGTGCGCTCCAAGCGATAAAAAAAAAAACTTTCAGTAGTCAAAACCAATGCAAGGTTGATGGGAGCGGGACCTACAACATAAACTTGAATCTGAATTATTTTTAAAAACATAATGATTCCTCTGCATATGGTAAGTACTGGTCCAGTGCCTTGAGTGATGACCCTATCCCAAAGCATACCAATCCAAACCCTTTGAAAGTAAAATAAAATCTGGTATCACGCACACATTTTTCTTGAAACCAATTCAATCCAAACCTTATACCGATAGCTGTGTTTTTATTGAGGTTTTATTCTCATTGTTATCTTTTTTTCTATTCATTTGCGGTCTTGAAAATATATGCGCTGTTTTTAATTGATAGTTTATATTTCTCATTCAAAAGGTTTATGCATCCTTCTACTGATTCCACCTTGATTTTCAGTTCAGGCTTGTTCGCTTGAGAGATGACCGTATCGAGGTCCCAACCTTTCATTCACTATCCCAAAGCATACCAATCCAAACCTTCTGAAAGTAAAATAAAATCTGGTACCGCGCACACATTTTTCTTGAAACCAATTTAAAAAAAACCTTATACCGATAGCTGTGTTTTTATTGAGATTTTACTCTCATTGTTCCTTCTACTGATTTCACCTTGATTTTTAGTTCAGGCTTGTTTACTGGTCCAGTACCTTGAGTGATGACCGTATCGAGTTCCCAACCTTCCATTCCCTATCCCAAAGCATACCAATCCAAACCTTTTGAAAGTAAAAAACCAATTTAAACCATACCTTATACCGATAGTTGCGTTTTTATTGAGGTTTTTTTCTCATTGTTATCTTCTCATCTATTGATTCGCGGTTTTGAATATGCGCTGTTATTAATTGATTGTTAATTGATTGTTAATATTTCTAATTCAAAAGGTTCATGCATCCTTCTACTGACTTCACTTTGATTTTCTTGAATATTTTCTATTTGTTCTATTTTGAAAATGGAAAGGATTTGAATCATTTCCATTGGCATTCTAGAACGCAAAAACATAGAGCTGATCAGCGTAGAATTAGTTAGCTACAACAATATTGGGGGTATCTGATGATAGTATCATTAGTATGACTTGAATTTCTGTTGAAAAAATTTGGACCAACACGTGATGGAGAATGCTATACCTACGTCAATGCCCAGTATATCCATAGGTATATTCGATTCATCCTACTCAAATTGTCTGATCATACATTCAATCTTCCATATACTATATTAATATGCTTAGCAGTAGCATTGACAGCTCCGACTGAAAGACAGGAATATACAAAATATGAAATTTAAACATCTGGAAAAAAATGGGTTTTGTACTATATGGAAATGCAATAAAAATAAATTGAATCAGCATTTTGGTTACTATACTTGGACACAGAGTATCATCGTTATTCAGTCTTATATACATATTACTAGATGCTTCAGGGAAGAAAACAAAGCCATAACCAAACACACCAAATCGATCAATAAAGCCTCACTTTACGACAACAATTTGTGACTTGATTTTTTGTTTCTGGAATAAAAAAATATCGACCACGTCACAAAGTGAGGAACACGCGTTTGATATAAAATATGGAGATATTTGATAACAAAGATGTATAGTCTAGTAAATCTATTCTTCAAAAGAGTCTAACATTAGCATGAAATATCTTATCATGGTGGAAGGGTTGCGAGTTCAAAAATTTGAAGGATTAGACATCAACATTTACACCTGCTCAGAGCAGAGCCCTAGGACTTTTCTCGGCCAACAGTTAAAATTCAGAATTGTTAGACCAATTCATTCACTAGACTATTACAATAAGTTGAAACGACTTTATAGCTAAAGAATGTTATACAATCTAATCACAATGGTTCGCTAAATTATAACAATCTATTTTCATACGGACATTCTTATCTAACACATCCATAAGAAGCACTTATTAATCATGAATACAGTCTATCGATTCGTGTCTAGAACACTGCCCAACATGCTAAACTAAATCGCACCCTATACATTTTTGGGTTTTTGCTTTTTTCTAATACTATCATGAATTTTAATATAGGGAAATATATTTTCTTGATTTTCATTTTCTTCGACTTGCGGGGGAGTTTTCAGAGAAATCGACAATACACCAATACAAAGACTCGTAATCATTCTTGAATTTAGCCGATTCAAATGATCATTTCGCAGACAGCAGCAACAAAAGTGCCAAAAATCAATAGGTAATACATCGGTTTCCCAACGTAAAATTAATAACTGATGGTTTATACGGGGTGACACAGGGTATCAGACCACCCCCATAACTTCTGCATTCGTGAACGGATTTTTCTGAAATTTGGTAGTTACATAGACGCAACCATTTCGGATTTGATCTGGAAATGCCAGAAACATTGTTTCATCAAATGGAACACCCTGTATATTTTTAGATATTCTAATTTATCAGGTGAAAAAGGAGTCCAATCTTAATGACAAATCTAATTTTTTCGATAATTTTGGAATTAAAATTTTTATTTCATTTTCCCTCGTGTATAAATGACATGTGATCAAAGCTATTCACAATGAGTCTCACATACTAGAGAAACATAATTTCTTCTGAAAAACTATTTTTTGTGTCACTTATTGATGAATCTTTTCAGTCCCATCACATTTTGATCAAAAGTTCAATTTTCTCAAATGGAACCCCTATGTCTCTCTAGGACATACATTAAGGAAAGTAATGACTTATCATTTTTGTATTTTGGTGCAGTAATAAATTTTTTTATACATTAAAAAATCAACAACTACCTAGTTTCATGAACTTCCTTGCAGTTTGGATAGTTTTCCAAGTAAGCTGTGGAAAACAACGTTTCTGAATCTAGTCATAGGATTGCACTTGTTTTGAATTCCAGAAAAACCGGAAGTCCACCATATTAGATTGTAATATGTCAGCAAATCCGAAATGTTTGCTCACATAACTGTACCAAATGTCAGAGAAATCCGTTTATGAATGCAGAAGTTACAGGGGTGGCTTGATACCCTCTGTGTCACCCGGTATGTATGATGACGCGTTCATATCGAGGGTTTGAGGAATACATCGCATTTACTCATTTGATTTCTAGATATTCAATTTGGCATCTACTCTCAATTAAGTTGATGAGAGAATTTCAACAGAATTAAGGCAACTGACAATTGTATGTTTGAATGTGGGTACCACTTTTCGACAATGGAAAATTCAGCAGAAAGAAAAAATGAAATGGAAATACTGGGTCGAGCATGCTTATTATTTGATATTTCATCAAAATCCCTTTAGATAGACAACCACCTATATTGTAAATTGATTATTCAATAATTATAAAGTGACCGTCGAAGTTATAGATGTTTCAGACAAATCATTGTATAACCTTCTTGCGCATCTAAAGGAACTTCAGAAGACTCAATAACAAATTATTCCGCGCTTATCTACCTTTTGTAAATTCTGAAATGCATAAAATGAAGGTAAGATGCCCGAACCCGCGAGCTCCGTATAGAGCTGCCACCTATTCGAACAGTTCCTCAAATTTTTTGTCGAATGATATTTTTCATTACTATTCAGTTTGCACACCCGATCGAAAAGGTATTAGATCTCGCAGAATAGATAAATCGGTGCGTTACTGTGACCCCTCAAAATTTGTCATGTTGGAAGCTAATGATGAGATGGCTGAAATAGGAAAGTAGAAAAATTCTAACTTTGAATTGCTCTAAAGCATAACTAGAAAACTGCATGGGTCCACTTTAGGAAACTATATAATATCATTGGAAATCAACAAATTATCTCCCAAATATATAATGACATATATGTACCTACTGCGATGATTTTTCAATACAGTTTTCAACATATTCCTTGACCATAATGGAAGTTTAGGATTGGGCACTTTCCTCTACTGATGTTGCTATTTGATTTTATTGATTCCTCATGTTTTTTCAATGCTATTCAAGCTTTCTTCGCAGAATAATTATTACAAGAATGACGTGATCTTTCGCTTTTTTCTGTATCTTCACGGAAATGTATAACCTCACGAATTGAATTCAATTCTATGATACTTTTCAACTTCTTACTCAGTCGGCGATAGGTACTATATCATCTGGATAGCACAATTTTCGAATTTTATGTTTGATGGCAACGTATATTTCTAGTTTCAAATTTCAGATATATAGCATTATTCGATTCCTATCTTTCCAACCCAAAGACAAAGCCATGCTAAAAATCACAAACAACCCCTCTACAGAAAAGCATCTAAACATCCCATTGATCGGCTGCAATGATCGTCTGGAATCTCCGAAAATTCACCCGCACGTCAAAAACCACCGCCAGACCACGACAACACCGCATCCTACGACCGACCGTCCCCCGCCACGCCATCCGGCTACGCCCTGTAGATGTAGGAGGCGGTGTTCGGGGGCGTGGGCGAGGGCGACGACGAAGGCGGCGAGGGGGAGCTCGACGAACCGCTGCTGGTGGGCAGCGCGCTGTGGCCCGTGGGCGCGGCTCGCTGCGCGTGATGCGAGGGGCGGGGCCTGCCCAGGCTCCGCCCACATGTCGGGGCCACGCCCTCCAGGGTCCGCGCTACCCCCTCCTCGCCGTCGCTGTCTCAGAGGTAGACCTTCTTGACGCTGCGCGTGGTCGCGAAACCGTCGCCGTTGCCGCCATTACCATTGCCACCGTTGCCGCCGCGTCGGTAATTGTTGTCGCCCTGCAACAACTGATAACGGACACGGTTTAGGACGTGGGTTTTGTTTCGCACGCCCTGTATACTGTTCGACTCCAATTGTCTATATTTCAGTGATATATCGTATTCGTTGGAAATATTGAATGACTTGGGGTAGATAATATACTCAATGAAAATTCATTATGATATAAATATGTGAGGTTTGTGCTTTATTATTATCAATGAACAAACAGAAGAAGTGCAGAAAAAACTTCTGAACCATTCGAGATTGGATTCTGAAATTTGGTGGCAAGTGGACTGATAATGAATTATTGGAAATCAATTACCTACTCCACTGTGTCGTTATGGACCTAAACTAATTTTTGCAGCACTTCTCACGCTTTTTTTTATGTAAATAATGAGCTTATATGCCTTGTTCGAAATTGTTTATGCTGTATCGTTATTGGTCCGACAATCTTCCATTCCCACTCATGAAGCACGGTTTTCAAGTCACCAATTATAATCGAGTTATTGGAAATATGTTGAGAGTCCTGTTGTCAAATAGAAGAAACTCATGAAATCAAAGTTCATTCTTGAATTTTTTGAGCAATCAGCATGTCCAAAGATTTCTTATACTGTAACAAAATATCATGTAAATGTTGGAGACTTGGCAACATTATGCTGAATGCTGAGAACTGACAAGACCACGCCCACAATTCGTGCGCTTTGTTGTCACGTTTACCGCTTCAAAATGTCTTCTAGTGTAGATCAATATAATTATTATTCCCACAAATTTATTAAAAGCAAAAATAAGCCAGAACACATGAGGGAACATTTTGAGACTATCGATTTTTTTATTGCTGAATATTATACCAATACATAAATGAGAATTTATGAAGTAATGAATAACTAGTATTTCGCAAGTTCTCAAACGTATTTCAACATATGACAACTATGCTATGTTTTGTCCCTACTAACGAATTCGTGACGTCAGTTTTTACTCGCGGTAAATTTCTAGCAGTTTGAAAATCACCGTGGCATTATTGATGATTTTAGCACTTTAAAATCGACCAAAAAAATTCAAAATAACTATGAAATTGAAAGGTGTTCGGGTGATGATTATATTTAAGAAATGAAAAAATGTCCACTCGTGTATTACATACAATGAATTGCTCATTGAAAAAATATTCTTTTCATCACTTCTGGTTCAGCCGGCAGCAACCTCAACCTTTGATTTTTGAATAAGACATCCGATACTGTCCTTACCATAAGGGCACACGGGGCTCGTGCCTAGGGCCTCCTAATCTCAAGGGGCCAGAAGGACCGACAATTTCTTTCACATTCATATTTATTATGTCGAGCACAGTACCTAGCAGCGCCACCGTCAGAATATTTTTGATATCATTAGTGACATTTTATAATAATTATTGTTTATCTGATAACCCATAATAAATAGAAGATCGCATAACAGAAAAATACTGTATGTAGTATGATTCGCTATCTTTACTCTAGAAAAGGGCCCTAAATTCTTGTGTGCCCAAGGGCTCCAGCATAATTTGAACGGCCTTTGGGACACCCTCTGTGTATTCTTTTATTTGGATTCAGAAGATCGTTTTACACTTACTAGAAACTTTCACCAATAGAAATTTCAAAATGTATAGGTCCTATATGAAAATCAAAAATTGGGGCTGCTTCCTCTTTCACCGGATGAAATAATATTGTTTCTCAATGAGAAGCCATATAGTGTTCTACCTACCCACCAAATATCAAAATCCGACCTTGAATGATTCAAAAGTTACAGAACAACTGGTCGTTGGAACTACAGTCATCATAATGAAATGGAGCATCTCTCCGATATACCGGGTGGCTACGGAAGTATTGCCTACGGAATATCACAGTTATTGTATGAAGTAGGTTTGTGAAATTTGAAGCTTCGATATAATGACATGAGCTAGAATTTGAGCATATTGACATGTTGAAGTTAACTTCCGGTCTGACCGGAAGTAACATCAACTTTCTTATTTTGAATGGAAACCCTATTTTTTTTCTTTTCGCCTTATCCAGCATTCAATTCCCTTTCTAATGACCTATTACAAGTTGGTATTTAACCAGAAACTAGATCAGAAAAAAATTATTATTGAAATTCACCGAGTAGGCCGTGGAAGCAAAATGGAAGCCAAAAATTGAAAAGTTGGCTATGGAAACCATACGTCACTTGATAACAGTTGCTACTACTGTGATATTTTATTTTCATTCGTCGGCGTTATAAAAAGCCGCCAAAAAAAATATTGGAAAAATTGGGAAGAAAACAATACTCTGTAGGTCCATAACTTAAATAGGAACATACAACTTTTTCTTACTTGTATTATTCAGCATAACCATTCCTTTCTAATGATATAATAGAAAGTAATTTTCTGAAATGAAATACCAAAAAATCCAATCATTATTCTACTCGGTGAATTTCAATAATAATTTTTTTCTGATCTAGTTTCTGATTGGATACCAACTTGTGATATGTCATTAGAAAGGGAATTGAATGCTGAATAAAGCGAAAAGAAAAAAAATAGGGTTTTCATTCAAAATAAGAAAGTTGATGTTACTTCCGGTCAGACCGGAAGTTAACTTCGACATGTCAATATGCTCAAATTCTAGCTCTTATGTCATTATATCGAGGCTCCAAATTTCACAAACCTACTTCATACAATAACTGAGATATTCCGTAGGCAATACTTCCGTAGCCACCCGGTATACTGACCGTTTGCTTTGATTGTTTCTTAGGAAATAAAAATATATAATTACGTTGTTACATAATAATTATATACAGGGCATTTCAGAATATGTCACCGACCACACTGAATTTTGCCATTATGGAAGCTTGTAAAAGGGTGATATTTGGAAAATACAGTTAAGTATATCAAAACCCTGTAATTCAAAAACTCCAACACGACCAACAAATTTTCACGATTGAAATTTGAAACAGTTCAAATTTTTTCGATCGAAATTTGAAACAGTCTGAATATTGTTGTATTTATTCAAATTCAACTCGAAGTATCATACCTAGTCAATAGTATTTCAGCTTTCTAACCAACAGCAAATAATAATTCTCTAATCTTTTAGCTTCAGAAAACCTGAACCTTATTAGCGAATACGAACAATTTTGAGAGGTACTGTTGCTTGTCTTTGTGTTGGAAAATATAAGGCTATCGACAAGTAAAGGTTAGTTTAAAATGCGCAAATCGAACATAGTGGAAGAATTTCTACCCCGGTCTTGTATTTTTCAGATTTTAACTTACTATCAAATAATATCAAAGTACATTTTATTGTTACATCTTTATTGTTGGACTGAAATAGACAGAATCGCCCACGGAATTGATTCTGAATAAAAATATTTACTTTGTTGCCAGTTGAAGCAGATATTCTAGCAATATATATTATACACGGTGATTCAAAATTCGAAGAATGCAATGTGAATATTATAAGGACGTATTTTTGGGATCAAAATAAGACTTACTTCTACGGCTCTTGTTTTACTGTGCTCGATGGATCATTGAGGTACTTTGTATGTCAGCAATTTCATTTCCGTATCTGATATTACAAAGACCTCATTGTGTTATTTCTCAAAAACTAATAACCCATGAAATGTCGAATTTCAAGAAATGACAGCTCTGTCTAATAGATGAGCATTACTTAAGAAAAAAAGAGATGGCTATTTAAACAAGCAGAAGAAATAAAGCATACCTATCGGTTAGACTGTTACAGCAGTAGAAATAGCATAGTGGATAACTCGCATGGAATGCTAATTTCGCACTCATATCATTAGCAGCATTCTCGCGGGAAATGACTATTATTCCGTGCATGTTTATAAACTATTCCTTTCCAATTTTCAGAAGAATTGATCCGTTATTCAAGTCTCAATTTTAGATAATTTACTTTTTACCAAAATTACCACTTAGAGTAACTGTAGCTTGGATAGGGCGCATTTTAGGATACATGTTTAAAAGTTCTAATTTGAATCATTCTGTATTTCATTAGTTCTGATGGCGCATTTTGTTTTTCCCAAATTTCCTACACATTGTACCCTTCTGTTTATTCAGAGAAATAATAACTGATCTGAAACAACTTTTCAAAACATCAATATCGATTAAGAGTATCGATTATTGGAATCAATTCTGAAAATAATTTGTGATATTTCATTTAGGAGCCCACAATAAATTAAAGGTTTGAATTGGAATTTACATAATATAGACAGCTTGAGATAATTATTTCTTGAAATGTTATCGACAATTTAGTCTTGATGTATACAGGGTTCTTTTCAACATGCCAACACTATTAATGTTATATTATTGTATAAGTGATTTCCTGTACATAAAGAGATACAGGTGCTGATCACGTATCACTGAATAAATAATTATTCATGATCAAAAAGGATATTTATTGAGACTTCACTTATAGTAATCTTCAAATTTATGGAAATACTACATGCAAAAGAATAGACACTATATACATAGTAGTTGAGTATTCATTGCACTGAAAGTTTGCCTGTTTGCATTGCATTTTTGTCATTATTTTTTCATTTTCTAGAAGTTAGAGGATCGTGTACAAATATAGGTACTATAGGTACTTATAGATAACTGAAAGCATGCAATATGTATTCACAGTTTATTTTTCATACTGTGTCGCAATCATTGAATGTCAAAACGGATTTCAGTCAGGAACTCTATGGTACCCCCTACTTAGAAGGGACCTATATTTATTACGTTATTATGTATGCTTATGGGAACATAAGCTATGCATACGGTACACCATTCAATTATAAATATTATTCCATAGGGCATAGACAACAAAATAACAAATTATATCTATATAATTTTCAGGATACAAATAATTCGCACAGAAATCCATAAAAAATATGCGACGCAGTATGAAATGAAACGTTATACGTTATACGTTCAGGAAATAGATCTTAAGCTCGTTTTTGATGTTCATCAACGTCTTCCCAGAACTCACATAGGGTGGAGTAAAATGACAAATAGATACGTCAAGGCATCTAAACA